TCCTGCTCTGCTTTACAGTAGTTACCTTCTGTACATCTGGGTGCACTGTGGTTGCTCAGACAGGCCAGAGACAAGCAGCCTAAGCCCTGTCCTTTTAAATAGACAGCTGCAGCACAGCAGGATGGCTTCAAACAAGGAAGATGGTTGGAGAGATAGTGGAGACAGCTTAAGGGCCTTGAGTCCAGTGTTGGTGCTTTTGGAGCCTGCTAAAGAGTGTATATGTGTTGGGAAGCAGAAGGGAAGAAGGATGAATATGTGGAGCTGGGCAATTCAAATGTGTACTCATAACTGCAGAATTTTAGAAAATAAGATCTGGAAGGGTTGTTAGGGTGACACCTGCTCTGTTTTACTGTCTCAAGGTGGCGTTGTAAATGCCATCCTGTATCAACCTGTGTCTAAAATGTTCTTAAACATTTTTGCAGACTCTCAAAAGCTACTCAAGAGGTCTGAGATAAGCTTGCAGTTCTGTGAGAGCTTTAGTTAATTTTGGAAGTATTCTAGAATGAGTCCATTAGGCCCAGTCACACTGAAAGTATTCAGACTGCCTAGGTACTCTGTAACCTTTCTTCACCTCTTAACAGGCTGAACTTGAACTGCTCACTCAGGCTAAATGCGCTTGTCATCTACTCACTCTCCACCTTTTTGTTGAGGACTGATACAACAAAGGCATTAAACACTGTTTTTTCTTTGAGCATCAGCAGCTGAGAGAGCTCTCTACTTTTATGCTAACTAAAATTGGAGTAGTATGGACTGCAATAAAATATGTACTTAGCTTGCTTATTAACGTAACCAAGACTCATAGAAGAAATGAGCAAGTTCATGTGTACACTCTCTAGAGAAACAGACTGGGTAGAATACTTGGGAGTTTTCACCTGTGAAGGTGGAGAGACTTGTATTATATCTGTCTGAAACAGTTATTTGTCCTGGTGTTTCTTTATTATTTTGGACAAGACTTTCAGAGTTGCTTTGATCTGTGATTTGCTTTGATCCTGATTGTGATGAGGCTTGTCTTTATTGATTCTTTTCCTGGAAATGCCCAATCCTGTTAAAAAGACTTATCTTTTTCTCCTTGTATTTTCTTCTTTCCTTTTGCATGGGTTTTTGTTCATCTGTCACCCTTAGTAAGTCCTCAGCTTGTCTTTGGAGGAGTTGCTATTTCAATGGCATTGTGTTTATCTGGGCTTGGAATCAGGCTCGCTGCATTTGGGCACTGCTCACCTCATATGGTTTGAGGATATGGGATTTGTCGTTGTCCCTTCCTTTTCTGGTTTTTGTTTTTGTTTTTTTTTTTTCATTATTCCCCATAGATTTTTTTTCTGGCAGGTCAGTGCAGTTATTATCAACAGTATCTACCAATCTCAAGGTTATTCATTGTCTTCCCCTACAGCATGACTGTGTGTTTCATTGTGCTCCACAGGTTCATGCTTCCAGGATCTGCACTGCCCTTGTGCACCTGCTAAATTCCCAGTGACACACTGGCAGTCCTCTGAGCATCTGCCCTGTTGTCTCTCTGATATTCACAAGCTGAGTAACAGCATTCACCTGTTCATATTGTCTTGTTTTTAAACAAAACAAGTTTTTTTTAGGGAACAGTTTTATTTTAATGTGGTATTTGCTTCAGCCCAGTATGTTTTACAGAAGCAGTGAGATGATCTGACTGAATACTAGCTTACAATTAAGTCTTTGAGCCATTATGTCCTTGAAGGCTCTGAAGTATATGATAAAAAGGGATTACTTTAAGAAAGCATTTTAAAAGCCAATGAACCTTTAATGTAGCTTCCTCTTTCAGTTTTGTGGTGGTACCAGATTTGATGAATGCTCTTGTGTGGTGCAACATTTGGGATTTTTCTCCTTACTTTTAATTTGCAGCAGGCAAACATGGACTGCAGAGCTCACTTCTATACTTGATATTTCATCTGTCTGAAAAAGGACCTTGCAGATCTGCTTTAATGGAAAGTAATCATTCTGTTTCAACTCAGTTTCAGTGGGGAAGTGCCAAAAAAAACTCTGCTCTGTTCACCTACCAGTAGTCTTGAAGCTTTCAGGATACTTGAAATCTTAAGTATCTGTTTTGCCTTTGTTTAGTCAAAAATTTTCAACTGGTAAATAGGTGGAGGGCACATCAACAAAAAATATGGTCTGATAAGTTGTTATTCCTTAGGAAGTCAGGTTGAAAAATAGTGGATTAGTGAAACCCCCCGGGTTCTCTTACCTGTGGCATAAGTCACAGAATTTGCAGAAGACTGTAAAATTCTAGCTCAGTAATTAATTCAGGCTGTTACTGCAACTGTACATTCTGATATTTGGTTCACGCAAGCAGCGAGCTGAGTACCTAACTCTCGCTTGTGATGTAGTGTAACTCATTTGGTATGCACAGCTGTAGCACTTTCACAGCTGTGCTCCGCATACGAATGTCTGAAGTGTATTCTGCAACTCTGCATGGATGCTGCTTTCTGTGTCACTGTTGCATAAAAAAATACCTTCATTTAATTGAGAACACATTAATAAATAAGAAAGGAAAAATGTGTTGCAGGTAGTTTCCTGAACTGTCAATTCTCTACTGTTAAGATGTTTCCATGATGTTCTATTTCTCACATTTATTTACACTTAGCTATAACTCTAGATGCACAAGTCTGTATGTGTTCATCCACCCCCAGTGTGTCACTTCTTATGCTGATTCTTTTTGTTGTTGTTATTTGCAGGTCTGCTGTTAAAGCATTGCGTCCTGGTGGATCATTGGTCTATTCCACGTGCACTTTCTCAAAGGCAGAAAACAGTGATGTAATAAATCTCATTGTAGACACCTGCAGTAATGTTACGCCTGAAGACATAAGTGAAATGGCCAAAGCTGTTTCTCAGGAATTCACTTTTCTCAGTGGTATGCAGCAGCATGAACTTCTAGTTCTCCCAGAGAAAGGGCGAGCGTGGGGCCCAATGTATGTAGCTAAATTAAAGAAAATATAGTCCATCTCATGCCTGCTATTTTTTTTGTAGAGGATGTGTGATAAATTAATATTTATTTCTAACATAGTATGTCTGTATGAACATGTCCAAGACAACTGAATTTAGGGCATTGCAGTTTCGTATCAGCTGCTACTGAATAAAAAGGAAGCTGGACAGTTAGTTTAGCTTAAAATACAGGATGTCTCTCCTAATGTGGACTTGTGGGCCTCTGTGAAGTCCTTATGAAGTTAGGGGAGTTTTGTACTATTTTCAAGGTGATGCTATTAAATAGATTATATCCAAGAATAGAGGCCTGTGTGATGACTTTTTGCACTGTTTTTTTTTTGTTTTTTTTTTTTAATTTTGGCTTTAATTACTAATTTGCTTTTAATACAATATATTTTAAAATAAATGGTCTGAATGGTGCCTGCTCCTGAAGTCATTGAAATCCTGTATTTTCTCTCAAACACATCTACAGGTCTGTTTTCCTGTACAAACTGATTTTTATGCTGAGTGTAAGCACTGACTATTCCAAGCACTAGCAAAACAGGTCTCATATTTGCAAAGTTCTTTACCGGTTAAAAACTGTCTTGTTTACAGTGGCAAAGGTCAGCAGCTATGCTGACACCAGCTTTTCCTTTTTTTTTTTAATAACTTTGAGCTTACAAAAATAGAAATTGAAAGAGTAAATTATGTTGAAATGTCCTTAAAGCAGCAGACTTAGATACATTTAGCTTTGGTACTTAATTTGTGGCATAATTCAGTATATCCAGCAGGCTCTAGAGCACGTATTTGAAACAGAAGCAGAGTGATTCATCACAATAATGGTGCAATATTCAGAGTTTTGTTGCATCATTACAATCATGAGAAGCAAAACACAATGTGGAGGAGTGGCTTATCCACCAAGTTAAGAAATGGGACGTGAATTCACGGTGTCATATCTGTGGTGTGCAAGCCAAGAGGGACTTGGTTCTGGTGTTGGTTTTAGGTTCCCTCAACCCTCCTATGCCATGCTGTGGATAACTGTGTAGACAAAGCATGCACACATTCAGGTGTGTGCATATACAAACTGTGTCTTCCTGTGTACTGCCTGTGGGTTAGGTGTAAAAACTGTGTTTGAATTGTGCCTATGAGTGGGTCATGTAACCATATATATATTAGACTGAATGCTTGTTTTGAAGTGGAATGGAGCCCTTTCATCCCTCTCTGAGGCTGCTTTCCCTGTTGAAGCTTGTAAGAATTGTTTTTAAGGAATGGTGTTTTAAAGAACAGAGATATTTAATGCTGGAAAAACTACCATGTTGGTGGTGATTCTGTACCTCATTAACAAAGTCAGGAGTAAAGTTGATTGCCTGAAGCCTTCTGTAAGGAACTGCATGTAACCATGCTAGAAATGCAGTGGTTCTGCATGAAATTCTCCAGTGGTTCTGTTGCTGTGAGCTCAGAAATACTTGTTGCAACTGTGAATGAACTACCATTTGTCTCTGAAAAATTCAGCTGACTTTTCACTGCCTTTATTCTTTGCTCACCTTATTAAGCTGATGGTCCTCTACTCTGCATTCACACCAGTTCTCTGTCAGTATACCTAAGGTCATGGAGCACTCAATGTTTGTCCCTACCATGAGCATTGTGGCTTCTGGGAAGGTCCTGTCCATAGTGTCTAGAACAGCAAGAAGGCTGAATTCAGAATCACAGCACCTGAACTGAAGAAAATCTTACATTTCTAAAAGCAGATGGTAATTGTGAGCAGTAGCTTTGGCTCTTCAGGCTTCTGTAACCAGGAGGATGGGGTCAGCAGTTTTTCTCGCTGCTGCAGCTTTTGCTGAAGGAAATAAATGCATAAGGTACTCTGGCCCTTTGGTGCCTGAGCTTCCACGGTTATCCTTTCCCCTACTTGGTGATGAAAAATGTTGAAGGTGCTCCTGTAGTATTAAATTGTCAGCAGTGTCCCTGAAAACTTAAGAGGATATGAAGCGCATGCACCTTGAGGCATGGAAGTTACTAATGTATGCAGATGATGCTGCATTCTTGTGAACAGACGTAACAGCATCTGTCCCAGAAACATTAAATGTAATATTCAGATTCAGAGTCATCTCAGGCTACTGGATGCAGTAACAGTACCCTTGTCAAAACGCTTTCCATCAGTTTTATTTGCCCTGTGGAGATTGAAATGGAAAACTAAGAATGGAACTTAACTCAGGGTTGGAATTAAAATATGTGGTTAAACTGAATGGTTGAGGGAGAACATGGACTAGGTAATCACAGAAAGTACAAAGGAATCCTTGAAAACTGAACTTCACTCAATCTCAGCATATGGGCAAGTCCCTGTGAACTGCATTAAATTAGACCTAAATTATGCAGCAGGGCCTCCTGATGTATGTAAAAGCTGCACCAAGTTCTGTGTAACCCTTTGCTGATCTGGAGTTTCTGTTCAGCTAGTCTAAAAGTGCACCAAAGAACCATGAAGAAATGGGGCTAATTAATATATTTTATTTTGCTTTGTAGCAGATGAATGCTGCTCCAAAGTGATGCAGAGAGGGTTTTTTTGTTTTTCTGATCTGTTCTGGCTGGTGATTTGGTAAGCAGATGCAGAGGGAAGGAGAGGAGGTGGGAAGGGAGAAACAGAAAGGATGGGAGGCGTGCCTATGGAAGTTAGGGGCAAGGTATGCATGTATGGAGAAGCAGCATCCACTCAAGGGTAATTGAAAAGCTTTTATGTCTGTTCAGGTATCTCTTAGATACTTCTGATATCCTAACATGACTTCACCTTGCCTTCAGGATGAGGCTTGAGCCTTTTCCCTATTTATACCTTTTTCTCAGGGAATTGCATTTTTAATTGCTCTGCCCTGCCCCCTTTTCACAAGCAACTCTGATGGAAACAGGGTAGCAAACAAGTCAGGCTCTCTTAACTTAGGGAAGACTGCAGCCCCAGGGGAAAATGAAGGTGGGTGAGCTGGGGGCCAGAAAATGGCCATTTTTATTGGATTGTGGAGTATCCAGAGAAATCTGCACGATCTTCTAGTGAAGGCAATTAAGAGAGCATTTGACTACTCACAGTTGTATTGTGCATAACACACATCAGTGCCAGCACACCTCAGAGGCAGCAGAGATAATTGGAGCTCAAACGCTGTCATGCTTTTCTGCCATTCCCTTTCCAAACATGCAAAAAGTAAATTCCCTGTTCGTTTGGAGGGGGTTTGCACAATAAGCAATGAAGGCCTTATATAAAGGCAACTTCAGTATTTGCCAAATTTTATCCTTTGCTTGGTGACATCTGACACAGTTCAGTTATGGCTTGTCCAAAGCATTCTCCACTGTGGACTAGAGTACGAAAACAGATTACACACAAATGGGTGTGGACTACTATGGTCAACTAGGGGACTAACAAGTTTGGCTTTCTTACAAAGATGTGCAAAGAAAAGATGAAGTACACTGAAAGAGGGGTAAAATAAAGAGATCAAGAATACAGCATTGGAATAAAAATGTGAAATACTAGAGCAGAGATGCTGTGGCTGTTAGCATGGAGGAGCAGCAACGCTGCACCTTGTGCAGGAAAGGTCTGTGAGCATCTGGGTGATGGGGAGAAGAGAGTTAATTTTGGGGAGAGTGAGAGGCACAGTTACCTGTGCTGGGGTGGAGGGATCCCCTTAGTTCATTTAGCTATCTTAGGAAAAAAATGTCTTTTGAGCATATCAGTCATGAAAACTGCAGGGGGCTTGCTTTCGATTTGCAGGGTATTTAAATTATCTTTGAATACTTTAAGTAGAGCATGGCTACCTGTTTCTTGCAAAATGAATGGCTGTATCAGTGCAGGTTTCCTATCAGAAAAATTAATTTCATGGGACGAAATTCTGAGAATCTGATCTGGCTTAAATAGTCTGTTCTGTCATAGAGCGTGGCCTGCTGGTAAGCTGATTTAACTTTATGCAATATTTGCTAGAAATGAGTCTCTTCCTTGCATGAGAAACTTGAATAACACATACTGGTGTAGTCTCTTAACTTCCAGGTAAAAACTCAGGTAAAAGTGAAGCTTCAAGTTCTCAGTTACTTCTTTGTCAAACTGGGATCAGAGAGCACAGTCACTAGTCTTAGCTTTTAAGATGGTGCTGCCGTGTTCCCACCACATGCTTTTTCCTAAAGATAGGTTTATCTAAGGTAGAGCATAGTAATCAAAAAACATTTCTCAGAAAATGCCTTCATTGGCTGATCTTCCTGGCTGCCTCCCAACATTTGAGGTCAAGGCCTAATGGCCTTGGAAAGTTTTATGTTCTTAGTAGTTGTACATAGTTTTCAAAAGGGGCAAGCATCTTAGAGCCCCCATTTAAAAAATGATTTTCAGGTGGTACCAAAGTAAAGTGCCTCGATCAAAAAGTCACAACTACTCTTGAGAGAAAGGGATGGAGCACAAACCTAGGTTTCACGACTGTCTTTTTGTCTCGCTTAATATTTTCCATTCCTTACAGCTTTGTTTAAGGTGGTCACTTATATAAATGCTTCTTCACTGTTTCACTTCGTGATAGCATGGCAGTATGGATGCGGCTGTACCATGGTCACAGAGGAAAAGGAAACACATCTGCTACCCTTAAACCACAGGTGGTAATTCTACAGTAAGAAGTGCTCCAAAAGTCTTCTGTTAAAGCACTAGAAGGCAGCACGACTTCCCAAATTTGAACGAGGCTAGTGCTTCAGCTGATTAGAGAGATTCTTGCTGTGTTCTTTACAAAATGATGCTTCCCTGTTGTATGACTTTCATTTTTAATCACCATAACAGTTTGGCCTGACCTTACTTCTGAGGAGGCTAATCAAGTAAACCAGTCAAAATATACAAGGTGCTTGTTTCCATGCAGCATTAGAATAGCTCTCACAGCAACCCAAGAGATTTGGGTATTTCAGTCACCCATTACGCTCTGGTGTAATACTTGTATAGCAGCACCTGTGTCAGTTATGGGCCCTGACACAAATCCTCCTGATTCTCCCTTTGCTCACTGCAGGAGAATGGTCTAGATGACCTTAAAAGGTCATTTCCAACCCAAACCATTCTGTGATTC